TTGTTTCGTGTACACATTATACACGTGGCCTGAAGGACTTCATATACACTGTTTTTGTGCATGAAACAGTGTTGTGACTGCAACCCATCACGTGAGGTCAGATGTGGAATTTTTCACTTGTGATATGTTGGTGCTCAAAAAGTTTTGAAAATTGGAGCATTTCAGATTTTGAATTTTTGGATTAGGGACGCTCAACCTGTAATAGAGAATAGACTTTAGATTTGGTAACTGTTTTTATAAAAGGTTTTCTTAAAGGTACAAGTATAAGGGAACTCAGAAACTTTAATAAGAGATTCCCATTGGCTAGAGATATGTCAATTTCAGGTTCAGAGAAGATTTTTTCAGTAGATTTTATCATCAGATATGTGTAATCCATCAGTTTATTGTGATAATTTTTATAATAATTCAAAGATACTCATATACTGTAAAATTTACTCTTTTAAAGTATACAGTTATGTGTGCAGGATTGTGCACCTACCACCACTAACTGATTTCAGAAGGTTTTCATCATCCCAGAAAGAAATTCCACATCCATTAGCAGTTGATACCATTTCTCCCTCTTGAGTGAAATTGCTGGGTCTTAAGATACTTCATGTAACTTTTTGAGGAACCGTCAAGCTGTTTTCCAGAGGGAATGTGCCGTTTTACATTCCCATCAGTAATGTACGAGAGTTCCCATTTTTCCACATTCTTGACAACACCTGTCGGTCTTTTTTTTATTATGGTCCTCATGTTGGATGTGAAGTAGTATCTCATTATGGATTTGATTTGCATTTATGTAATGACTAATGATGTTAAACATCCTTCCATGTGCTTATTGGCTATTCGTATATCTTCTTTGGGAAAATGTTTAAATCTTTTGCCCATTTTTAAATTGACTTCTTGTTGAGCTGTAAGTTGTCTTCTGGACACTAGACCCTTATCAAATATATTATTTGTAGTGTTTTTCTCCTCATGCTTTGGGTTGTCTTTTTTTTTTTTTTTTTTTTTTTTGAGTCTGGGTCTTGCTGTGTCACCCAGGCTGGAGTACAGTGGCCCAGTCTTGACTCACTGCAACCTCTGCCTCCCGGCTTCAAACGATTCTCCTGCCTCAGCCTCCTGAGTAGTTGGGACTACAGGCGCCCGCCACCACACCTGGCTAATTTTTTATTTTAAGTAGAGACGGGGTTTGACTATATTGGCCAGGCTAGTCTCGAACTCCTGACCTCGTGATCTGCCCACCTCAGCCCCCCGAAGGACTGGGATTACAGGTGTGAGCCACCGCACCTGGCCGCTTTGGGTTGTCTTTTCACTTTCTTGATAGTGGCTTTTGATGAACAAAAGTTTTTGTTTTTGTTTTTGTTTTTTTGATGAGTCCAATTTATGTTTTTTCTTTGGTTGCTGATGGTTTGGATGTCATATCTAAGATACCATTTCCTAATCCTGAGGTCACAAAGATTTACACTTACGGTTTTCTAACTGTAGCTCATATTTAATTTTAATTTTGTGTTAATTTTTGTACGTAGTGTAAGGAAAGGGTCTAATTTCATGGTTTTGCATCCAGTTGTCCCAATATCATTTGTTTAAAAAAAAAAAAAAAAAAAAGATTGTTTCTCCCTTGGCACACATGTCCAAAATCAATTTACTGTAAATGTAAGGATCTATTTCTGGACTCTTCAATTCCGTTGATCTATATATCTATATTTATTCCAGTACCGTAGTCTTGATTAATGTAGCTTTGTCGTAAGTTTCAAAATCAGGTGTGAGCCCTGTACTTTGTTGTTCATTTTCAAGATTATTTTGGCTATTCTGCATTCCTCGCAATTCCATGTGGGTGTTAGAATCAGCTTGTCAGTTTCTGTGGGGGAAAAGTGCCTGATGGAATTTTGACAGAGATTGCATTGAATGCTATATAGAAACTAATTGATCACCTTAGGAGATGACAGGGAGCCAATTTTTCAAATCTGTCTTGGAAACTAGTAAGTAAAGGTATTTTTCCTGTTTCATCTGTGTGAACCATACCAACGGATAACCACATTGTAGGTGAAGTATCTCTTTATACATGTATTCCATTGCATTGGTGAAAAATAAATAGCGAATTAGTTTGTCACAATTTTTGCAAATCCCAGTGAATGAATTAGTTTAGGCATTGAATATCAAGAGCTGCTAACTTTACAAAACGAGAGACAAGCATATGCTTTCTGATAAAATAACCCACCACCACCTGTAGTCTCACCAAAAGGACGGAACGTGAGACTAATCAATTTGTTGTGTCCAGCTGCCAGTTTACAGGAAATAAGGAAGCAAAAGGACTACATTGAAGAACCCCATGATGTTGCAGTCATTTTACTGAAACCTCTTTAGGTCAAATGCCTTGAGTTTTTCCGTAATTATAGAAAATAAAAAAGGATCAAGAGGGAACTTATAGATTAAAAGCTACTTAAAAGACATAATTTTAAAATTACTTCTTTCCTTTTCAGAATGAGACTTTTTAAAATTTTAATTCCTTTCACGTCCCTCCAAATTACATACGTACATTCATAGACATGGATACACACATACACATATATAATGATACATACATACAGTGTTGCTTTAAAATGTTTAAACAATGCATTTATATAAAATTTTAAGTATATTTACGTACATATATAGTTTTATGTAGAAAATACATATCATGTGTATATAAGTATCTATAGCTTTGAAAGATCCTTTCCTCATTCAGTTATCTATGTTTTTGCTTTGTCCTATTAGAAGATGTAAATTTTTGATCAATTTAACTTCTGTGTAGAATTTCCTACGATGGGTGTGTCTCATTTCTTTAGACATTTTGTTAGTTGATTGAAAGGCAGTTTATTGTCAGTTTTTTAAAATTCCAAACTGTAGTGAATATCCTTATCCGTGTATCTCTTCTAAAGTATATCCTAAGTTGTTGAGTACCTGTAGAGTTTCAAAAGATGGCACCAAATTTCCTTCCTTATATCTACTCCTGAGAGTACTTAACTTGTGCTTCCACTCCACTGAGTATGTAAACTGTGTTAGGTTTTCTGTGTTTATGTTAACTTCAGCCTTGCTTACAGGATAAAGTTAGAGAACCCTTTTTTATTGGTTTTGAAAACACCTGTGAAAAAACTATTCTTGTATCATGTTGAGTAAGGTAATGTTGATATAAACCAGATTGCTGTTTTCCATGTGATTGTACCATTTTACAGAAGGATGTTGTTTAAAAAGTGATACTGGAGGTTGTATAGTAACTTTCAGCATTCAAGCCCATAGTTACGATTCTTTTTTTTTTTTTTTTTTGGCATGTATTTACAAACGTACATTTTTCCTCCCATCTATACAACAGATAACTGGTATTCCTCCTTAATACTGCTTAATACTGTCTCTCAGCTGATGCTGGGTTTTTTGTTTGTTTGTTTCTTCTCACTAAAGAAGTTGAGCATTTTTCCCTCTAAGTTTACTGACCCATTTTTTTTCTACTTTTAAGTTCAGGGGGTACATATGCAGGTTTGTTACTTGGGTAAATTGTGTGTCACTGAGGCTTGGCATAGGAATGATCCTGTCACCAAGGTAGTGAGCATAGTACCCGATAGGTAGCCATCCACCCCACACCCCCTTCCACCTCCCCACTCAAGCAGTCCCCAGTGTTTATTGTTCCCCTCTGTGTTCCTGTGTGTATTCAATGTTTAGCTCCCACTTACAAGTGGGAACATCATAATATTTTGTTTTCTGTTCCTGTGTTAGTTCACTTAGGATAATGACCTCCAGTTGTATCCATGTTGCCACAGAGGACATGATTTAATTCTTTTTTATGACTGCATAGTATTCTGTGGTGTATATATACCACATTTTCTTTATCCATTCCACCACTGGTGGTCATCTTGGTTGTTTCCATTTCTTTTTTTGTTTGTTTGTTTGTTTTGTTTTGTTTTTGTTGTTTTTTTTTTTTTTTTTTTTTTTTTTTGAGACGGAGTCTCGCTCTGTCGCCCAGGCTGGAGTGCAGTGGCCGGATCTCAGCTCACTGCAAGCTCCGACTCCCGGGTTTACGCCATTCTCCTGCCTCAGCCTCCCGAGTAGCTGGGACTACAGGCGCCCGCCACCTCGCCCGGCTAGGTTATTTCCATTTCTTTACTATTGTGAATAGCACTGCAGTGAACACGCATGTGTCTTTTTGATAGAATGATTTATTTATTTATTCATTTATTGATTGATTGATTGGTTTTGTTCCCAGTAGTAGGATTACTGGGTACTGACCCACTTGTATGCCTTTTTTAAAAAATATCACTTTATGTTTGCTATTTTTATTTAAATCATTGATAAGAGCAACTTAATAAACCTTGGTTTCTTGTTGAAATTTTTTTTTATTGTGCCTTGTTTTGTGTCTTTTCTTTATGAGTAGGTTTATTTCAGGGTGATGGGAAAGAGAATTTTTTTTTCAGTGTGGCTTTATTTATGCCATCGGCCTTCTCAGCTTGGTGTGAGGAAGCTTTTTTTTAATTATAGTAATTTTTTAGAAAAAGATTGCATAGAGGTGTGTGTGTGAGAGAGAGAGAGAGAGAGATTAGAGTTAAAATAAAAAACGCTATTGTCTGCTGAACTAATTTTCAGGTAGAAATTAAAATGGCTGACTTTAAAAAATTTTGTATACAAGTTAACGGAGTAAGAAAACCAGACTAAGGTGCATAACTTGGGCTTTTCACGTTGACTTTATTTAAATAATTGTATCTTAGAGATACATGATTCAGCTAACATTGGGTGAGAAGTGAGCAGTCCAATATTCAGGCTTCTCTATCACCTAGCTTTGAGTCATTTTTAATGTTTAAATTAAATAATTGTATTAAATTATTGGCATTATTTCTAAAATAAAATCCTGTTTCTCAGATCTGATGTATTAAACCATAAATATACTTTTTATATTGCTAAATGTTGAGTATTTGGCTAGTTATGAAAACCATGATTTGAATTAAACTCACTTTGCTTATCAGGGCTTTTTCATATTTATTTTCTTTACTTTACAGAAGTACAGGTATCAGGATGAAGACACACCTCCTCAAGAGCACATTTCCCCACAAATCACGAATGAAGTGGTGGGTCCCGAGCTGGTTCACGTCTCAGAGAAGAACTTATCAGAGATTGAGAATGTCCATGGATTTGTTTCTCATTCTCATATTTCACCAATAAAGGTAGGATAGTATCTATTTCTTATCGTTATGAATTACATATTACTTTTGTCAGACATACAGCTCATGCTCGGAGAGAAGTTTTCTTTCATGTAGGTTCTCCCCACCCCCCATTGTAGTATCATAGTTATGGAGAATTTCAGGGTGCTCATTAGTACTCAGGAAAACTGAAAACATTTTTAAATATATATTTTATAAATGAATGTTATTCAATGATGCTATCTTTAAGTCTAAAAATTCCCATGAAGGAAATAACTATTAAATTTCAAATACAACACACTGAAATATTTTCAAACACTTGCTTTTAAATATTAGTTGGTATAGAAAAAGTGTGTTTCCAGCACTTTGGAAGGCTGAGACGGGTGAATCACTTGAGGTCAAGAGTTTGAGGCAAGCCTGGCCAATATGGTGAAATCTCGTCTCTACTAAAAATACAAAAAAATTAACCAGGCGTGATGACGCACGCCTGTAGTCCCAGCTACTCGGGAGGCTGAGGCAGGAGAATCGCTTGAGCCTGGGAGGCGGAGGTTGCAGTGAGCCTAGATTACGCCACTGCACTCCAGCCTGGGCGACAGAGCAAGACTCCATTTCAAAAAAGAAAAAGAGCGTTAACATTATCTTTAAATTCCAAATATGTGACCTTTCCTGATCCTGTCATCTCTCCCCTCAGAAGTAACTACAATCCTGAGTTTATTTACCCTTCTTATTAAGGTTCTACTATATATTTAGATGGCTAATCAATTGTTTTGCATATTTTGGACTTTATGTAAATGGACTCATACTGTATCTTACCTTTAACTTGTACTTTTTACTCAGTATCACATTCCTCAGGTTGATTAACTTCACTGCTTCAGAGTTTTCTATTTTATGAATATACTACAATTTATTTTACTTTTGATGGATATGGATTTATTTTCAAGTTATTACTAGTATAAAAAGTGCTTCTAAAAAACACAGGTTATATATACATCTTTGTGAATAATGCCAGAGTGTTTCTCAGTAGCTGTGTCATTTCCATTTTCAGCAGCAACATCTAATGTTTTTAGTTGATCCATGTTCTCATCAATTGGTATTCTTATTTTTGGCGTTGTTTTGGTTTTGAAATGGTATCTGATTGTGATTTTAATGGGAATTTTGTTAGGGAGGTATGATATATTTATTGATCCTTTAGGTTTCCTTATGTGTTATGGGCCCATTTAAGATTTTTGCTCGTTTTTGTATTGGGTCGTTCTTTTTATAATTTGTATTGCTTTACATATTCTGAATACTAATCCTTTATTGGTTGTGTGTATTTAGCTTAAGGATCATTTCTTACTAGTAAAATTTACCTGGATTTTGTAATTCTCTTTGAGGAGTGATAACATACTACTGGTTAAAATTTTTAGTGATTATAGTACGATTCAAATTTTCTATCAGGTAATTTTGCTAGGCTATTTTTTTTTTAGTAATTTTTAACATTTCAGATGTATTTTCAAATTATTATTTATGATATCCTGCTAATACCTTTTAATATCTGTAGCATATGTAGGCATGGCCCCTTTTTTATTCATAATATCGTTTATTTCAGACTCTTTGTTTTCCTTCACCATTCTTGCCAAAAGTGTCCATTTCAAAGATGGTCTTTTCAAAGAACCATCTTAAAAAAAAATTATCTTGAGTCCTTGCCCTGTGTGCCCACCCTTATCCCTCTGTTCTTTTACACACATACACATACATATAGACGTGTTTATGTATGTACATGCATATGTGTATATGTAAATATAAATTACACGTAGGATAGCTGAATATCAATTAAAGATTGTGTTCAGTATAAGTAATCTCATCTTCCCTTGAGGAACTAAAAGAGAGTTAGGGAGAGTAAACAGCCAAAAAATCAGTTGGCTGTTTACCAGTTAGTGGCAGAAACAGTTCTTTTATCTTTTCTTCCTTTCTCTTTTTATCATTTTTTTTTTCTTTTTCGGTTTCTTTGAGTTTATTCTGTTTTCTTGTTTTTCTAGTTTCTCAAGTCAGTTGCTTATTGCACTGATTACCAGCCTTCTTTTCTAGTAGTATTCATTTATAAATATTTCTTGAAACAGGATTTTTAAATGTATCCCACAAGTTTGAATATGTAATGTTTTCTTTTGTATTTTTTTTAACGTCCAGTGTGATTTGTTTTTTGTTAGCCTCATGAGTTACTTAGAAGTGTGTTTAATTCTTAAACATTAGGGACTATTCCTTTTGTATTGTCTTTTTTGTTTTTGTTTTTCTGAGACAGAATCTTGCTCTGTTGCCCAGGCTGGAGTGCATTGGCTATCATAGCTTACTGCAGCCCCAAACTCCTGGGCTGAAGTGATCCTCCCAGCTCAGCCTCCCAAGTAGCTGGGTCTACAGGCACACGCCACCATGCTTGGCTATTTTTTTGTTTTGGTAGAGACAGGGTCTTGCTTTGTTGCCCAGGCTGGTTTTGAACTCCTGGCCTCAAGTGATCCTCTTCCCTTGACCTCCCAAAGTGCTGAGATTACAAGTGTGAGCCTCCGCACTTGGCTCATATCTTCTTTTGGATTGTATTTTCTCATCTCGTTTTCCCTTACTATTAGCTTGGAAGTTAAAAATTGTTTCTCTTCCATTAGTGGTTATTGTAGAAATTTTAATATATGTTTAACTTAAAAAAGTCTAAAGTAAATAAATGCCTTTCACTCTTATTCCAGACAGCATAAGAACCTTAGCATACTAAAGCCCGAGCTCCCGTCTTGTTGTGTGGGCTGTTCCTGTCAGCCCAGGCCTGGTTTTATCTTGATTGAATTAATCTAATTTATTACTTTTGTCCAAAAACACTCCCAGGATATGTATATTTTTTTAATTTCTGATGTTTTGAATTTCTCGTCATCCTCATTGTTACAAACCAACCAAAGCCAATTTGCATATGGCCAACTCTGGTCTTTTGGTAGGTCTTTTAGTAGTTATTTTGGTATGTTTGCAGATTATGACACAAGCAGACATTTAAACAGACAGTGAGCCAGCATGCATATTTTATGTAGCCTGTTCTTTAAATCTGATGAAACCCCAGCTTTCCGTTGTTGCCTTAAAAATGCTCATTCTAAGCAGATAAAACAATATTCCAGACACAAGATTTTGTTTACCCAGAGTCTCCAGACGTCTTACGGATTAAACCTAAGGTGTTATCCCTAAGGGTTTAGGCCTCTCCAGAGTCTTCCCTTTCCTAAGCAAGGGTGAATTCTGTCTCTAAATTAATTCAACCAGTTCTCATAACTGGGATACTATGCATTTCACCAGCAAAATCCCATTTTGCTCTTTAATAAGCCACTACTTTCATCAGTGAAAACCTACTTCATTATGATAGTTGGAAAGACTTTTGGTGTAAATCAAAGATTAATATGACAAAACCCCCCCTTTTTGGTTGTTGTTTTGTTTGGTTTTGTTTGTTTGTTTTGAGACGGAGTCTCGCTCTGTTGCCCAGGCTGGAGTGCAGTGGCCGAATCTCGGCTCACTGCAAGCTCTGCCTTCCGGGTTCACGCCATTCTTCTGCCTCAGCCTCCCGAGTAGCTGGGACCACAGGCACCCGCCACCACGCCCGGCTAATTTTCTGTTGTTTTTAGTAGAGACGGGGTTTCACCGTGTTAGCCAGGATGGTCTCAATCTCCTGACCTCGTGATCCATCTGCCTCGGCCTCCCAAAGTGCTGGGATTACAGGCGTGAGCCACCGCGCCCGGCCGACAAAACCCTTTTAGCAGCCATCTCCATATGTGATTCTTCTAATTAAATGCTAGGTGATCAATCTTGGTACGTGAATTGAAATACAGACTGGCCTTTGGGAGGTTTACAAGTTCTCCAGGTGTTTCTAATGTACAGACACAGTTGCGAAGCATTGTCCCGCCACTATTACTGCTACTGTAGTTGACCCTTGAACAACATGAGTTGGAACTGCACTGCTCCACTTATATGTGGATCAAACAAATGCAGATTTCAAACAAATGCAGTCAAACATAAGAATATTTGTGGATTGCAAAACCCAAGTATACAGAGGACTGACTTCATATAAGTGCATAGCTGACTTCAGGACTTCAGTATGCGAGGATTTGGGTATACTCGGGCAGTCCTAGAACTAGTCCCCCATGAATGCAAAGCTTGAGGTATTTTCCTGCACTACTGTGCTATCTGTGTTGAGCTATTAATATTTACAAGTAAATTTCTGACATCATTTGTCGAATCCTCCTTCTAGAATGAGAGACTTAAATTTATAGTATTGAGAAAGAACACATTCATACTTTTAAGATTTTCACTGCGTTCTTAATCTGGTTTATTCGTTCCTTAATCTCCTGACCATAAGTGATGTAAAGTCAATTTTTTGGTATCTGCTTTAAATTGCTCTTTTTCTTTACATGTACTTGCTTTTTGTTTATTATCACAATGATAAAGGATTATCTCCCTTACAGCAAATATTTTATAGAGGCTTACATAAAGGAGTATGTTATTAAAATTAAAATGTCCTTTATCATCAGTTGTAAGACTTACCTTTTCCACATTTACCATTTCTGAAATTGGTAAAAATCTTCCAGTTGTTGGCATTTTATCATTGCCTTACCTGAGTGGCAATCTTTGTGTAGTCATATGTAAACCTTTGTTGACATGACACATTTTGTTAAGATCAAGAAAGTACCAGCAGGCTCTCATGAGTCTTAGGGTGCCATGGTAATAATTCAGCTGGTTCCATGAGAAGCAGCTGAAAACCTGGCCGTCTTTGTAGGCCATTCTCTTGCTCTGCCTTGTTCGTTTTGTTTTATGTTGTTGGGTATTAACAGAATCAATCTCTGAAACAATTATAAATAATCCTCTGGGGCTCTTAAGTGAAACCACTAGTCCCCTTTCCCTCACTTTGGTTTGCTGGCTATCTGATTCATATTTGCAAACTGAATAGATAAGGATTTCCAGTCCCAGTAGAAAAAAATTGTGTATATTCTCTATCATTTCTTTCTAAATCACGCTTTAATATGTTAATGTTT